TGGGCTGTTGGGAAGGACTCCCGGACTAGGACTCAGGAGACTTAATCCTGGTTCTGGCCATAACTGATATGCAATATTGGGAAAGCTGCAGAACCTCTTTGGGCATGAGTTTATACAATGATGGGGTGGTCCCAAAGGCCTGTATACAAACTCCAAATGGGGAAAGGGAGCCTGTGATTAAAGTGTTCCTGCCCAGCCAAAGTTGGAAACTGAGGCTCAGAAAGGCTACGTTGCAGTTGGAGTTTGAACTTGAGTGTATCATGCTCCAGAGCCTTTGTGTCCTTCACTGCACCCCCGAAAAGCTTCCCCATGAAAGCAGTGGGTAGCCGAGCATGTGGGCACTCTTTAGGTTAGGCAGGAGTCATGAGGTTGCAACAGGGACAAAGGACTGCATCCAGAAGTCACGTGGGAAGCTCTGGCTGGAATGGGAGGAGGGCAGAACAGGCCGACGTAAGTTTCCTTACCTAGCTGATTTATAAGAACCGCACCACTGTTCATAGGACAACCCTCACTCACAGCGCCTTTCCTGGAAATCATAAAGCACTAAAGACACCAACATGCAAACATCGCAATGGCAGGTACGGCACGGCAAGCACATCTGCCTTTGTGACTTGGGTTTCCCATGCCTGACACTGAGGCAGAGACTCCATGTTACTGCTCAACAGTGGCTCCGGGACACTGCAAGTGGCCCTGAAGGTTATGCCTCACACAACTCCAGGGGCTGCCATCTTTGTGGACTCTACCGTGAATGGTGACTTGAGTGGTGCAATGTAGTAGCCCTGGGCCGCTTTTTCTTTTGGAGACAGTCTCACTCTGTCGCCTAGGCTGGAGTGTGGGGTGCGATCTTGGCTCATTGCTACCTCTGCCTCCCGGGTTCAAGCAATTCTCCTGCCTTAGCCTCCTGGGTAGCTGGGACTATAGATATGGACCATTATGCCTGGCTAAATTTTTTGTATTTTTGGTAGAGATGGGGTTTTACCATGTCGGTCAGGCTGGTCTTGAACTCCTGGCCTCAAGTAATCCTCACGTCCCGGCCTCCCAAAGTGCTGGGATTATAGACGTGAGCCACTGTGCCAAGCCTCTGGGTTATACTTTGGTGAAAAAGCTATGACATAGAACATGTAGTCTTGAGCATAGCATGCATGCCAATGTACTTTGTCAACCAAGAGTTTCTTTCTGTTTTTCTATCTTGTATGTCATTCCATGGGTAAGTTATTCGCAAAGGCATCCACTTGGTAGCTGGGAGGTGTTGGGAGGTTTCCTGTCCATGGGAAGGCTCACAGTGGAGGCAGGTGGCTGCTAGCATGCTCTTCTGCTTGGTTCTAAAGCTGACTTGTCTCCCTGCTATCATAGGTGCCAGATGCTGGGCTAAGCAACTGACAATGATCCATTTAATACTACAGTAACCCCACATGGGAGGAACTGTTAGGATTCGTATTTTACAGAAATGGGAACTGAGGCTCTGAGAGGTGAAGCAACTTGTGCAAGATCCCACAGCTGGTCAAGAGCAGGGTGGGACTGGGCGGGGCAGGCTCACTTGAACTTCAGGACACCCACGCTAGCCACTGCCATGTCTACAAACAAGTCTGGGTCTCTAACTTCTGCCTCCACCCCTGTTCCCTCTTGAAATGGCTGTCACGTCCCTCTCTATTGGTTATGGCCGCCACAAAGCCTGAAATACATTTTTCCATTTGGGAAATCTTTCTTGGGAAAAGAACAGCTAAGCCTTGCGATATTAGGACGATCCTCCAAAACGAAACATTCCTTGAAAACTCTACCATGGGGGAAGACACAGTGCCCTCTCCAGGGACTCAGAGAATCAATCAGAGACAGGAACATACAGGAATCAAGACAGCTACACATTTCTAAGAAAAACTAGACCCCAAAATGAGATGAGATTTGATGAGAGACGTTCTTTACTACCTCCATTTTTCTTTTTTATACCCCAGAGGTCGAGGTCATCAGGCAAGTGGAGAGGGAAGCCGTAGGAGGGAGTAACTCAGTCCACGTGGCTACCCTCACTCAGGCTGCAAAGGACCCTTCGTCAATAAGAGCTCAAAGAAAACCTGCATGAACATCTCTCGATCTAAGAACGCTCCGAGAGGGAGCCAAGCGCAGTTTTGTGAGGCCAGCGGCGGAGGCCGGAGCGGGGGGAGTCTCATGAGGAAACCCGGGAGGAACAGAAGCTCGGCTTACTCCCCCAGGCCACTGTGGGGTGTCCTGGGCACGGGAGTCCTGGGCATGGCCCAGGGGGCATCTGTCTCATAGCCACAGTCCCTTTGCCAATAAAGCAGGAGGCAACTGCATGTAGAAATAAGAATTTCAAAAATTCATGTACAGCCAAGTGACTGTAAGAGTGTGCTTTGTTGAAAACCAGTTGATGACACTGCCAGAGCCAGCAGCAGACTCACTGGTTTTCTCCCAGTTGTTGCCTGCAAGTGGAGACAGAGTTTAATTCACAGCGACTAGCTGTGTGATCCTGGGCAAATCACTTAACTTCTCTGAGTTTCAGTTTCCTTGTCTGTAAAATGGGGTTCCTGAGAGAGCCCATGCCACAGGCTGTTGGATTAAATAAGTAAACGCTGGTCAATCCCTTAGCACAGTGTCCCTCCTGCTCCTCATCATAATTCCATTCTAGTAACGCTACTGATCTCATTCATCGACAAAATATAAACTTACACAAAACAGAATCCTTTATAACACATTCTCTTGCTCCTTCAGTAGTCAAGGTTGGACGTCTCTACACTGACTGACACACTTGTGTGATTAAAACAAAATACCCCTCCCCACATTTGTGCCCTTAGGTTCACAGCTGCATCATCTGCAATAGCCGAAAGGTGGAAGCAGCCACGTGTCTGTGGAAGAACAGGTAAGCAAAATGTGGTCTATCATACAAGGGAGCATTCTTCCGCTTTCAGAGGAAGGACAGTCTGATGCATGCTACACATGGATGAACCTTGACGGACATGGTGCTCAGTGAAATCAGCCAGACACACAAGAACAGATATTGTACGATTTCACTGATACAAGGTACCCAGAGCAGATTCACAGAGACAGAAAGCAGAGTGGTGGTCGCTGGAGGCTGGGGTGAGGGGAAAACAGGGAGACAGTGCATCCATGTTTAATAGGGACAGAGTTTCAATTTTGCAAAATGAGAAGAGTTCTGTGGATCAATGTGAATGCACTCAACGCCAAACTGTACCTTAGAAATGGTGAGTACGGTCAATTTCATGTTATGTGTATTTTACCACAATTTAAAACACAAAAAAATTACATAAACCGGCCAGGCACAGTGGCTCATGCCTGTAATCCCAGCACTTTGGGAGGCTGAGACGGGCAGATCACCTGAGGTCAGGAGTTCGAGACCAGCCTGGCCACCACGGTGAAAGCCTGTCTCTACTAAAAATATGACGACAACAACAACAACAACAACAACAAAATTAGCCAGATGTGATGGCAGGCACCTATAATCCCAGCTAATCGGGAGGCCGAGGCAGGAGAATCACTTGAACCTGGGAGGCAGAAGTTGCAGTGAGCTGAGATTGCAACATTGCACTCCAGCCAGGGTGACAGTGCAAGACTCTGTCTCAAAAAAAAAAAAAAAAAAAAAAAAAAATTGCCAAAACCAACACAAAAACTATCTCAGAGGTTTCCTTCTAGGATGTGGTGAAGCAAACGTCCTGAAAGTCGATTGTGCTAATGGCTGCGCCCCTCTGTGTTGAACTGTGCGCTTAAAATGGGCAGGGTTTGTGTTGTATAAACTGTACTTCTGTAAAGCTGTTCAAAGCAAGGAAGCAAATGCTAGGTTCATGAGGAACCCTGTAGTGTGACAGGTGCACTCACTGCCTCAGTTGTGGCCATGGCTTCATGGGTACATCCACGTGCCCAAACCTAGCAGATGAGGTGTTTTAGGCACGTGCAGTTTTACTGTATGTCAGCCACACCTCAATCAAGCTGCATTTAACAAAGCAGCAGAGTTATCCAAATAAGAATGAACCCCTAATACTTTATTAAGCAATGCCCCTTTTGGCGGGCATTTAGGTTTCAAATGTTATGCCACTGCAAATAATACTTCAATAAATATCTTTGTATAAAAAAAAGAAATACAGGTATTGTGTGTTCCCCTCCTCCCTGACTGGCAAGTCACAAAATTACCCATGGAGGGGTCCCGGGAAGTTGTCATTTTACTGAACAGTCCCCCTCAAATTCTTATAATCAGACATGTTTAGGGGAAACACTGGCTCGGACTTCACAGACTTGGCTTTTCAGGCGCTTATGTGTTGAGCGTCTACTTGGACAGCGAGTTTCAGGCTCTACAGACATTCTCTCCATGCCATATGCAGTCGAGAAGGCAGAGACCTGGGCATAAGAAGAACCCTGGCCCAGGTCACAGAATAAGAAGGAGCAGAGGGCTGATCTGCCTAAAAATGAACATCCATCTCTGCATTTTCTTCCCTTTTTGTTTTGAGAGGGAGTTTGGCTCAGTGCAACCTCCACCATCAAGCGATTCTCCTACCTCAGCCTCCCAAGTAGCTGGGATTACAGACAGGCATGCGCTATGCCATTCAGCTAATTTTGTATTTTTAGTAGAGCTCAGGTTTCTCCATGTTGGTCAGGCTGGTCTCGAACTCCCAACCTCTGGTGATCCCCCCTGCCTCGGGCTCCCAAAGTGCAGGCAGAGCCACCGCACCTGGCCAATCTCTGCATGTTCGAAAGCACACCTTGTTTTCCACCTCCTCTCCGGAAGTTGCACATTTTTGGAAAACTCTGGTTCTACGTGAGACAAGATGCAACTCCAAGAAATGGCCAGAAGAGGGTGCCAAGATTCTCTCCTCCCCTGGACCCGCCGGAACGACTCAAGAGCTCCACAGGGCTGACTCTGTCGCTGCCACCTGTCTGCGGTGTGCGATCACGGTGGCACCGCTGTGGATGAGCGCCACCCTGCGGCTGGCTGCACGACAGCGACGCGGCCCCTCCGTCCCCCAGTGGCCCGGACTCACCAGGGGTGGGTTTTCGATGACCAGTTCATAGGTCAGCCCCACAGACCCAAATCTCAGGATGTCCCCAGGGATGAGCTTCACAGCCACGTTCTGAATGTGGCACTCGTTGACAAACGTGCCGCTGCGGGAATTGAAGTCCTGGAGAACAAAGCTGCACTCCGCCTCGTTATATTCGATGAGCGCGTGGTGGTTGTCGATGTCAGGGGACTGCAAGGGAGGAGGAGGACAGTTGCAGCTGTGACAGCAAAAACGACATGGGCCCTAATGTTTCGAGCTGAGTGCTTTACATGTGTTGCTGCGCGGGGCCATCATGACAATCCTCATTTTAAAAGGTGAACGCTGATGGATCAGAGAGGTTAAGCAACTTGCCCAAGGCCACACAGCCAGTGTATGAAGGAGCTGGGATATGTGCTCTGTGTGACAACAGACCTGGGGACAGGTACCCAAATCGTTGGGTGGGGAAATCAGGCTACACAAAGGCAAAGGGATCTTGGGAGAGTCTTACTGGGCAAAGGTGGGGCCAGGGAATTGGCCATTTCTTTTCTTTTTATTTTTTTATTTTACAAAAGCCAAAATGGTCAAGGAATTGGCCATTTTCTATTTCCCTGACGCTGTATGGGTACTTAGGGTGGCACTCGGTCCCAGAACAGGAGGCAGAAATGGCCCAATCAAGATATAGAGAAAAGCACTAAAGAAGACGCTACTCTTACTTATAATCCCACAATCTCACCCCACCAACAGCAGTCATGATTAACATTGAGGTTCACATCCTTCCACGTTTTTTTTTTTTTTTTTGAGATGGAGTCTCGCTTTGTCTCCTGGGATGGAGTGCAGCGGCGTGATCTCGGCTCACTGCAACCTCTGCCTCCGGGGCTCAAGCGATTCTCCTGCCTCAGCCTCCCGAGTAGCTGAGAATACAGGTGTGCGCCACCACACCCAGCTAATTTTTATATTTTTAGTAGAGACGGGATTTCACCATGTTGGTCAGGCTAGTCTCGAACTCCTGACCTCGTGATCTGCCTGCCTCAGCCTCCCAAAGTGCTGGGATTACAGGCATGAGCCACCACGCCTGGCCCTTTCTATGTTTTTTTTTTTCTTTCTATGCTTACATTCTTTAAAACTTTTTTTAAACAAAATTAACCACACTCTACACATATAGCTTTATAACTACCTTTTAAAAACCCTGATGTATAATGAACATTTCCCATGCGATTAGTTATTTCTATTGCTTCTTAAAAGCTACTCCGGGTTTGCCTAACCACAGATGACCTACTTTTCAAAAGGTGGCTTGCTGTGACCATATTTCCCCAAAGGAAAGGGGCCCCAGCCAGTGTGTCTGTGAATTGATGGCAGAGGACAGAACCTCCTCTGTAATTTCACTTTAATAAGAGGACCGAGTGAAGCTCAGCACAAAGGAGGTGGCTGCACATTTCCCTGGCCGCAGGGCCCTGGAGGGACGAAGGGAAATGCCCTGACTGTGAGCGGCAGGGCACACTGGTCTTCATGGCACTGTCAACCACACATCCACGCCAGCTTAAGACTTGGCAATTTTTTTCCAAGTTTCTCTTCTCAGTGTGCCCTGTCCAGCTTTTATATAAAAGTACTTGCACTTAGACATCTAAAGTTCCGTAATATAATAACCACCAAGAACTTGTATTAATAATATACTACTAAGTATACTAGGATAACGATACAACATATTACTTACACATTACATGCCAGGAAATTGCTAAGTGCTTCCTTGCATTGTCCTATTTCATCTTCACAACAATCTAGAGATAATTTCCCATTTGGTAGATAAGGAAACTGAGGCACAGAATGAATGTACCCAAAGTCACCCAGCTTGACAAGGCACCTGGCTTGTACTCAGGTTTGCCTGATTCAAATGTCTGTGCTGTTACCCACTTTCCAAGTTTCCACCAAACACTTTGCCACCCAAACTATGGAAACACAGAAGAAGGCTGGAGTAGCCATACTAACTGCAGCCAAGGCAGATTTCAGAACAACAACAAAAAAACGGGATGAAGAGAAGCGTTAGGCTGGCTGCGTTGGCTCACGCCTGCAATCCCAGCACTTTGGGAGGCCGAGGTGGGTGGATTGCCTGAGATCAGGAGTTCGAGACCAGCCTGGCCAATACAGTGAACCCCTGTCTCTACTAAAAATACAAAAATTAGCCAGGTGTGGTGGTGCACACTTGTAATCCCAGCTACTTGGGAGGCTGAGGAAGGAGAATTACTTGAACCCGGGAAGTGGAGGTTGCAGTGAGCTGCCAAGATCACACCATTGCATACCAGCCTGGGTGAAAAGAGCCAAAAAAAAAAAAAAAAAAATAGAGAGAGAGCGAGCCACTACATAATGGTAAAGGGGCAGTTCTCCGAGAAGACGTAGCAATTATTAATATGTATGCACCTAACAACAGAGTGCCAAAATACGCAAGGCAAAAATTGATAGAACTGCAAAGAAAAATAGATAAGCCCAATATGACAGCTGAAAATTCCACAACCCTGTCAGTAATTAGCAGAGCCAGAAGGCAGAAAATTAGTAAAGACATAGTTAAACCGAATAACACCATCAACCAAAAAGACTAATTGATGTTTATAGAACAAGAAGATGCATGTTCTTCTCGGGCTGACAGAGAACACTCTCTAAGCTGTACCACGTGCTGAACCATGAAACACACCTCGGTGAATTTAAAAGAATAGAAATCATGTGGAGTATGCTCGCAGACCACAGTGGAAGTAAGCTTGAAATCAGTAACAGAAAGATAGGTGGAAAATCCCAAAACACCTGGAGATTAAACAACACACTTCTAAATAACACAAGGTGAAGGAAGAACTCTCAGGAGAAATTAAAAATCAACTAAATGAAAATGAAAATACAACTTCAAATTTGTGGGAAGCAGTGAAAGCGGTGCTTTTGAGGAAATCTGTAGCCTTGAATGCACACATAAGAAAAGAAGAAAGATCTGAAATCAATACTCAAAGCTTCTACCTTAGGAGACTAGAGGAAAAAGAGCAATATAAGCCTAACACAGACTCAGGCACTGAAATAAAAACTAGATCAGAAATGAATAAAATTGAAAACAATAGAGAGACTCAAAGAAAACAAAAGTTGGTTCTTTGGAAAGATCAATAGAACTGACAAACCTCTAGCACATAACCAAGAAAAAAAGAGAGAAGACACAAATTATTGATATCAGACATGAAAGAGAGGCCATCGCAGCTTATCCCATGGATAGATATATATTATATAAAATATACTGCATATAAATATTTATATCTATAATTTATCTATAATTTATATTATTTTATATATTATTTATAATGCTATATAAAGGAATATTATGAAAAGCTCTCTGTCCACAAATTTGATAACTTAGATAAAATGGACCAATTTCTTGAAAGATACAATCTACCCAAACTCATACAAGGAAGATGATCTGGGCCCTGATCTATTAAAGAATTCGAATTGATAGTTAATAACCTTCTAAAACAGAAAGCACCAGGCCCAGATGGGTTTATGGGTGAATTCTCTCAAACATTTAAGGAAGAAATGATACCAGCTCCCTACAATCTCTTCCAGAAAATAGAACCGGGGGAACACTTCCTAACTCATTCTATGAGGCCAATATCACTTGAATACCCAATCAAGATAAAGACATTACAAGAAAGGAAAACTACAAGTCGATATCTCTTATAAACATACATGCAAAGTCTTTAACAAATTATTAGCCAATAGAATCCAATAATGTATAAAAATAACTATACACTACAACCAAGTGGGATTTATTCCAGGCATTCAATAACTGATTTGGTGTTTGAAGATCAATTTATGTAATCTATTGCATCAAGAAGCTAAAGAAGAAAAGTAAAGGAGGAGATATATTCTATCTTGTATTTGTAATTGCCAAGTGAAATATGATGTTTAAAATCTTTTCATGTGCTTATTTGCCATCTGTATATCTTCTTTGGCAAAGTATCCGATCTTTTACCCACCTTTAATTTGGGTTGTTTGTTTTCGTATTGTTGGGTTTTCAGGTTCATTTATTTTGGATACATGTTTATAGCATCTTTATGAAGCAGGCGGAATGTTCTTCGGAAGGTAAAGGGTCAAACAAACCGGTACATCCATACAATGAGACACTAGTCAATGATAAAAAGAAATGGCCTATCAAGCCACAAAGAGATACAGGGCGACTTTAAATGCTTATTGTTTAGTGAAAAAAGCTAATCAAAAAGAGCTACATATTGTATGACTCCAACTACATGAAATTTGAACAAGGTAAAACTATAGAAAGGTTTGTTGTTGCCACGTGTCAGGGGAAGGCTGCGGGCGGGTGTGATGTTGAACAGGTTAGAGCACAGGGGATGCTGAGGGCAGTGGAACGCTTCGGTATGCTTCTGTAACGGTGAATAGCTGACATTATTCCTATGTCAAAACCCACAGAACTTTATAATGCAAAGAATGAATCCTAATGTAAACTCCCGGCCTGAGTCAAGAATAACATATGAATATTGATTCATCAATTGCAACACATGTGTGATAGTAATGAAGATATTAATAATAGGGGAAATTGTATGTATGAGTGAGTGTGGTGGGGGAGGGGTTGTTACATATGGGAACTCTCTGTACTATCTGCTCAATTTTCTGTGAACCTAAAACTGCTCAAAAAAAAAAGTCTAGTCATGCCTGAAATCCCAGCACTTTACGGGGCTGAGAAAGGCAAATCGCTTGAACCCAGCCTAGGCAATATAGGGAGACCCTGTCTCTACAAAAATAAAATAATTAGCCAGGTGTGGTGGTACACACCTGTGGTCTTAACTACTTGGGAGGTTGATGTGGGAGGACTGCTTTGGCCCAGGAGGTTGAGGCTGCAGTGAGCCATGATGGCACGACCACACTCTAGCCTGGGCAACAGAATAAGACCCTGTCTCAAAACAAAGGTTTATCAAATAAACATTAAAACAGATTAGCTCTTTGGGAAATGCTACCCACATCATCTTCATCTCCGTTCCTACTGACTACGTTTTGTTGTGCTCTATGATCTCTCTCTCCTTCCCTTTTTTGGTTTGAGATGGAGTGTCACTCTATTGCCCAGTCTGGAGTGCAGTGGTGTGATCCCAGCTCACTGCAACCTTCACATCCCGGATTCAAGCGATTCTCCTCTCTCAGCCTTCCAAGTAGCTGGGATTACAAACGTCCACCAT